ACACTGCTGTAAAGGGTATGCAGTAATGGAAGATGAAGGGGAAAAATGGAAATATTAAATGAGCTTCTCATGATCATTCTTACTGTCTACTTGACCATGTTGGTCTGCAGCGAAGCAGAGGCACTCGCAGCCAGATAACTCCTTGTTCTGGAGTCTCAGTCATCTACTGATATATTGCATACTGCGCTATATTATATACCATTTTATACTGCGCTATATTATATACCATTTTATACTGCGCTATATTATATACCATTTTATACTGCGCTATATTATATACCATTTTATACTGTGCTATATTATATACCATTTTATACTGCACTATATTATATACCATTTTATACTGCACTATATTATATACCATTTTATTCTGTGCTATATTATATACCATTTTATACTGTGCTATATTATATACCATTTTATACTGCGCTATATTATATACCATTTTATACTGCACTATATTATATACCGTTTTATACTGCGCTATATTATATACCATTTTATACTGTGCTATATTATATACCATTTTATATTGCACTATGTGTGTCCCTATCCTTCACCACTTTGTACTGTAAGTGCCGTATTGCATCATCCTTTTGGTTAAATGTAGCACCATGGCTCCATGTAAAAGCCTTTTGTTTTATGATGCATTTGTGAAACAGCAATAAAACTGAATTGAACGATTAGAATTCAAACTACCAAGACTGAGATACTAAAGGTCTGACCTTAGATATGCAGCCATTTGTTTTTTATAACAGGAAGGTGCATCATAGTTCTGTAGTTTTGCAGGCCACTTAGATACCAAGATATAAAATAAGATGCAATTACTTCATATGAGTTAGATCACTGATATTAATTCCTGCACTGGTTCACTATACCAATTACTCGGTGACTAATGAAATGAAACAGGAAGTCTTTTTTTCACTTCTGGCACTTGTCTCAATTTGGTTCCACTCTCTGATCATAATCATTTATAGGGATTAAAGTAAGTCTCATTTCAATTGATTTGTATACCTGCATTGTCAATATCTCTTCATCACTTAATCTTTTTTTCATCAGCATATCTGTGGCAAACCAGAAAACAGCGTGTTATCTAACCCTGGGAATTATTGGGCATTAGCACTGATGGACGACTTCCTTGCAGGCATCATTAGTTTGGATTCATCCCACTTGGTATTTTCAGCACCTGCGACCAGTGTCTGCTAGACACAAGAATTATTACCATTGTATTTTCTCTGGTGTATAAATTAATCACGGGTATCATGAGCAACTAATTATAATTTCTGGACTATGACCAAGAAACACAATTCCCCAAGGAACATATAAGACTTATACATCAATAAAATGTGGTTGTGGGACCTGAAGAAAACAATAGCTCTTGTCTATGGCACACAGGTTGTCCGTGTGTGTTTGAAATGCAAAGACAGAGCTGCGTCGCTTTAAGATCGGCTTTCTGCTTACCGAGGGTCACATCGGTGTCACTATCCCTGTGAGAAGGAGGAGCTCAAACAGAACAGCAGCCCAGAGTGCATATCAATGAGCAGCGATCATTTCTCTGAGCTGAAGCGTTAATGACTTACAGGTCTGGGGCTTGTTAGACAACTTCCAAAGATTCACATCACATCTGATCCCCCGATTATCTGTTAAAGACATTCAGACTTTCTTTTTAGCCTTGCAAGCTGATGCATCAACAAGGTCGTCTTTATATATACGATAAATATGTATACATAATTAGTATCCAAAGGGAACAGCTAGTCAAAACTCAAATATGGTTATACTAAAAGTTTGTAAATGTATTCAAGCATAAAATGGACTTGAAAACTGATAGAATAACTGAATTGTATGAAATATACTGTTAATTTGTTTGGACAAGTTTACAGCAACATAGTAATTTTCCTCTGTAAAAGTATTTTCCATTTGCTTTTCCCATCAGTTTCAGTGTGACTTCTTGAATCTCTATACCGTTGAATAAAGGCAGCTAACAACCTCATGTAAATAAATAGCTCAACAATTGCATGCTGTGCCTCATGTCAAGGACAGATTTGGGGATTCAGTTTCATAGAACTTCAATTATTTTTAATGTAATTCCTGACGGAGTTCAGAGCATCAGTATGAACTACAGATGCTGGGCTTCAACTTAAATCAATAAAAAAAGTCGGTGATTCACTTGTGTTGATGCTCAAGGCCGAGTCTCCAGGAATTTCAATGCCTCTTCTTACAGCCGGGGAAAAACGGTAGCCTTATCTGAAGTGTACCGTTTGTGTCACTGTTGTGATATAATCTTAGCTCAATAATATTATGTCATTTTACGAAATAAGTATTTCCCACTTTCTCTGAATGTGTCTGTGGAAGGGAAAGCAGTGGCAGGCCATGGTCCATCGGGAGGGTAGGTCAGGTCCCATCTCAACCCTGTTCTGGGTGGCTATTTATATGAAGATATCTTTTCCCCCGAAAAAATCCTGGAATAAAACTATTTAACATCACAAAAAAAACAGTGAATTTCTTTTGTATGCTTTGTTAACCTTCCAGTGTGCCTAATATTCCATCTCTCGGAATCCTGTTCACTTCATAAAAGCGGTTACATTAATAATAAGGGTCAGGTCCTCCTTACCTACTCCCTGGGTCATGTGGTTTTCATCCCGATCCAACCGGCTTCACACACTCCGCCGTTTCCAGTAGCTTCGCATTACGTCACATAGCCAGCAGACTGGTGTTGCAACTGCATAATGACTTTACACCAATAAAACTCACAAAGATCCATAATCAGTCAAACTTCACTCTCCCTTTGCTAAAGCAGAGCAGTGAATCTGGGCCAGTAAGATGATTGAGATTAAAATGATTAAGATTACTGGTAACACTTCCTATGAATACCATATCTACAGGAATCTATGAACACATTCATAACACAGTATAATGCATTCATAAAGCATTATTAAGATGCTGTAATGTTTTATTAATTCTTGATTATTATTATAATATGTTATAGATGATGGTTTCAAGTGGTACAAGATTATTTAGTGTTCATTTGCTTTGAAAAGTATTAATTGTATGACTTAAGAACGCGAGCTGTAATACAGCAGATAGGTTCCCTGCTATTGACTTGCCCTGTTACACTTGATTGTGAATTATAGCAATGTTATGGCTGGAGTGACAGACGAAGGCAGCAGGTCAAAGAATGGAAACGAAATCAATAGGAGCGCCTGGGGAGCGGAGCCTGGGAAGGGCAGCGTCCTCGGGCCCTCCTGGAATTAATAATTGAGCATCATGATCAGGATCATTCTAACATGGCATCTTTCCATCCTGAGCACGATCTGCTTGTATTTATCTTTGGGTCAGTGGTTTTTACTTCCATAACTAGCATCATGATTGGCGTTTTGAGGAAACTTCAATTGAAGCGAAAGCAGAATTAACACATTTTTGAATGGGCTGCCCAAAGGTCTATTTGTTAATAGTTAAAATTGCATTGTTGGTCAGTAGTATTATATTGCCTAATTTTAACACCCACCCCCCCCTCCCCCTTGTGGCAGCGTAATGGTGCAGTGGTTAGCACTGTTGCCTCACACCTCTGGGACCAGGGTTCGATTACCTGCCGTAGCTCCTCATGTGTGGAGTTTGCATGTTCTCCCCATGTTGTCGGGGGTTTCCTCCAGGTACTATGGTTCCCCCCACAGTCCAAACACATGCTGAGGTGTTTTGCAGTTACCAAATTGGTAGTAGGTGTTAATGGTGTGAGTGACTGGTGTGTGAGTGTACCCTGCCATGGGTTGCTGCCCCATCCTGGGTTGTTTCCTGCCTTGTGTCTGTAGTCTTTGCCCCCCCCCCCATCCCTGAATAGAACAACTGCTTACAGAAAATGGATGCAACTCCCAAACAGAGCCTTAGGTTTGTTTATTATTTAAGAATTAGTTGCTTGTATAGTTTAGTTTAGTTGTCACTCTTCCGATACTAAAACTAATACTGTAAAATAATAAATAGCGCCTCCCTAAGAAGTCAAGCTTGTGAGTTGGGATGCCACGTCCTGTGTGGATCGAGATGCTTACTTCTCAATACAGATGACTCTGTCAGGACAAGGCCGCGGGGAGCTGAGGGCCTGCTGGAAATTACCTTCATGACAAAGAGTCACCCAGACATGGAAGTTGATCAGCACTCACAGCAACACTCACAACAACACTCATAAAGAAAGGAAATCGTTGACTGTACCTTCCCTCTAGTATTAATATTCAGTTGGCCTTTTAGTACTCAGATACTCATCGTATCCCAAACAGCATTATAAATACCACTTATCTTAAGTGAATAAAAGTGCTCTGAAGTGAATTTGAATAAAACTGTGCTTATTCACCGCTTTCAGAATTATTGTGTCTTCACTGATTGGTGTAGCCTGGAAACAACATCGTAATAAGAGCATAGATGGGTATGGGGAAAACAAGCAATGGCTTCCATGTCAAGAGAATATATACAGGAGGCAAATATTGGAATGTAGACATTGGGGGGGCTCCGGGCTGCGGTGCTGTCCCACAGAGTGCAGAGTGGATTTCATGTCTGGCTGATCTACTGTGAAGGAGCAGATAGATTTACTCCCCCTACCATCCTAAACAAAGGGCAGCTTAATTTCACATGTTTCACTTCACAGTCATCTTTGTTGCCCTTTTAAAGTGCTTCATATACCTCGCATTGGTCTTTTCAGCCAATAAATGGCTAGACAAAATGAGTGAGAGAGGGCCACTATTTCTTTTTTTGCCAACATTGCCCACGGCAGACAGCTACACTTGTCTTGTGCTGCTGTAAGCTGGTGGGTTTCCTGCTCACTGGCTCCTTTGAGATATTGTAGCTGCATTGTGTGTACATTCAGTATCAGCTCTGCCATGGGACCCCAGCTCCATTTATTTGGATGAATGAATTATTAATGGCCTGCTGATTTTCCAGGGCTCCAGATGCATTAAAAACACACAATCTATGCATATAACAGATGCATTTCCCAGTGCCATTTTTCCCCTCTACAGAAAAAAGGCTGGAGTTTTCAGAGGAAGCCTTCTGCACTCTGATGATCGGATGGGAAGAAAATTGTTGACCTTGGAGACTGAGGATGCTGTTGCCATGGGAACTGTTAATCCTCCTGTCACTCACGAAAAGCCTCGCAGGTGAGGTGTCCCACAAGTTATCTTTGATATAACACCTGATATGCATACTTTTTAAGGGATCAGTATCACACCTTTTTTGAATATAGTCATTTTATTGTTCTCATTTAAATCATGTAAATCTTGATATTTCCCTGACAGTAACTTGTTTATATAATGCCACACGGATGATATTGTCCCTCATCTTTCATTAAGAACTATTTTCATACTAAAGGAAGTGACTTCCTCAAACTTCATAAAAGTATTAGACTGTACTTTCAAATTATCTGATGTGTAGAGCCCTACACTTGCCACTTGTGTATATTGTTCTGCATAAATGAGCACTAGCTGTTCTCATTGGCTGCCCGGCCTTTTATTACAGCTCTCTGAAGTTCACAGTATGCAGTTATTGTTGAGACTGGGTCACAAAGGAACTGACTCAGCTCTTTGGTCATTTTTGAGGCTGGGCTTTTGTGCTGCGTAGCGATTGCCCTCCTTTGTGTTTGGGACACACTGTCGTGATTTCTGAGCCATGCACCTGCAGGATGGTGTTAACATGGTGCCCCAGTCCCTACCACTGTCACCAGTGCTGCTTCAAAGGCGTCGAAGCACATCGACCCAGTTACCGCATCATGTAAGAAAACAAGGCTTTCTTTTACCTTGAGGGCCATATCACCATGTTTCCTAAATCAATGGGTCTTTAAGTGAAAGGTTTATTAATTCATTACACGTCAGTCGGGCAACTGCCTGCGAGCTTTGGCAGGACGGCCGTTGCTTCAGATGAAAGATCTTCGCCTTCCCTCTCGGTTCCTCTTTCCTTGTCAATTAGCTTGTGATGCAAAAGGTAGCCCTAGCATTTGCTTTGGCAGGGTCAGGGACCCGTGGAAGAAAGTTGTCACTGAGATAATTTAAAAAAAAAAAAACGCAGTAGACATAGAAAATGCTTGGAGAGATGAAGGTGGAACATAATGGGCAGATAGATTAGAAATTATCAAAGGGACATAGCATTTCAGTACCTGCTTTTTTTCTAAAACCATTAGTTTCCTTTAAATAATTTTTTATTTGAACAGACCAGAAACACGGTGTGTTATTTAGTCACTGTGTGCAGTAATAAATGACTTTTACAAGAATTTAATTGCCATTCATACATCAAACGCTCCTGATTTCTTTCCTCCAAGGGCATAGATTTGGGTGTGGACGGTTGGGGTGTGTCCCTACTAATATTGTGAGAGTACTGTATGTGTTTAGGGGTTTAGGGGGCTGATATGGTCCCTACCAATGTCGAAACCAAACCTACAGCCTTGCTCTCTTCCATCCATTTTCCAACTGATAGGCAGCACAGGGCCCTGTCTGAGGCACCAGTGCATGGGGAGAGAATATGCAATCATGCAAAATGCAAAGAGGAAGCGCAGCTCAATCCTCAGCCCTGTCTGAGGCACCAGTGCATGGGGAGAGTATATGCAATCATGCAAAACGCAAAGAGGAAGCGCNAGTGCATGGGGAGAGTATATGCAATCATGCAAAACGCAAAGAGGAAGCGCAGCTCAATCCTCAGCCCTGTCTGAGGCACCAGTGCATGGGGAGAGAATATGCAATCATGCAGAAATGCAAGAAGGAAGCGCAGCTCAAACCTCAGCCCTGTCTGAGGCACCAGTGCTCCTCAGTGAGCCAGCATGCTGCCCTATTTACTTTATTGTTGTAGTTCCAGCAATATAAAATAAATGTGAATTTATAAGTTATACTCATATTATCACAGTCCTGGAAAAGCATTGTAAGACTGATGGATTTATGTCAACAGATTTATCAGGATTCCATGTAAGATGTCATTTAAAACAGCAAATGGTTAAAGACATTGCCCCCCTGGAATCCTATCCAGGGAGTTTGATAGCCTTATGACCTGCACTGTTTGGGATAGGAATCAGTCTCACCCTGATGATGGATGGATGGATGGATGGATGGATGGATGGATGGATGATTGACTGCTTTTTGCATTGTTTGTATATTGTTACATATTTTACCTTTACAATCTGCACTGTGCACTTTGTTGTTTATTTGCTCCTCCTCTCGTGCTGCATTTTTTTTATTTCACTGCATGCACCTACAGTAACTCAAGAACCAAGTGATGTTATTTTTCTGTTGGACTGTGGTGACAGTGTGGTCGTCTTCAACTGTAAAGCTAAGGGCAGCCCAATGGCGAGTTATAGGTGAGTAATTTTGCCATTATCGTCAAACTGCTTAAAGATTCACCGCAATTGAAAACGTGTGACGTAACACAGGCATTTTATCGCTGATAAATGGAAAAGCTAAAGCTAATGCTAATGCTCATCTGACATACTTCAGAATGTAATGAATCTGTTTGAATTTTTTGTATTGTATGAAAAAATGGACTGAAATTGCTTCACAGGTGGGAATTTAATGGAGAAGACATCGCGATAGGCAGTGATTCAGAGTGCAGGCTGACAGAAGGAAACCTGCTGATTAACAGCCCAGAACCAACGCGACATGGAGGAATATATCAGTGTATCGCCAGCAATCCCCCCCCCAGGCACCACCAGCAGGAAGGCCAGAGTGCAGTCTGCATGTAAGAGAGCTTCTTCTAATTGTGTCATGAGCTTGACTCTCTGCCAGTGATAGACCGTTTTAAGGACTGTGGTGGGCCTGCTTTTCTGTTGCTCTTTGAGTTGAAACGCTTTCACTACAGGTTTAAAAAAATGCTAATGTTACTTTTAACAAGAATCTTGAAAATGAGTAACCAGCCTCTTTCCATCAGTTTCATTCATCCCTTCCTGTACAAAACAGAAAAGCAAACACTTGCATTCAGTTAACTGGCAGTCAGCATCAATGTGATTTGAGTCTTTAAGTCAACTTGCATCATGCGCAGTTGGTTACTGATGTTAAATCAAATTGTTCTTTAATAAACATTTAATATGTCAGTAAAATTCTTTTTTTCAAAAGATAATTTGCAGATTCTCCAACTAGACATAAATTTTTCCAAAAATGTATATTTTCCCATAAGCCTGAAATAATTCACGAAAGGCCTATAATTTGATAAATTGATGCATGCTACGTGGTGGCAGAACGGTGCTGTACTTTACACTATCGCCTCACACCTCTGGGACCATGCAGGGTTCGATCCATCTTGTGTGGAGTTTGCACGTTCTCTCCATGTCATTCTGGGGTTTCCTCTTGGGTTTCCTCTGGGTACTCCAGTTTCCCAGTTACCAACTCCCATTTGGAGTTACCAATTGTCCATAGGTATGACTGGTGTGTGAGTGTCCCCTGTGATGGTTCAGCACCCCATCCTTGGTTGTTCCCTGCCTTGTGCCCTGTGATGGTTCAGCACCCCATCCTTGGTTGTTCCCTGCCTTGTGCCCTGTGATGGTTCAGCACCCCATCCTTGGTTGTTCCCTGCCTTGTGCCCTGTGATGGTTCAGCACCCCATCCTTGGTTGTTCCCTGCCTTGTGCCCATAGCCTCCAGAATAGGCTCCAGACATTTACTGAGTAAATGGCTCACATTTAAGGTTTTGTCTGACAAAATTCAGCTGTTTTTAAAACTGAAGTAAATGTTAGATCACTCTGGATGAGAATGTAATAGCTTGTTACACCACCTTATACTAATTATTAAAATGGGGGGATTAATAGATTTGAATAAAATTGGTTTGAAGGCTACGGGCACATTAGCCATTAGCCATGGCACAGTGACCGTTTTGGTCAGAAATCCAGCTCCCACATTTTTTTCCACTTTACAGGCTTTTAACACACTTTCCAATGCTGTCTAATGGACACATTTTTAAAAAAATGAAAGACTGAATGTGAATTATCTTAGGAAGCAAGCCACAATTGTGCTGTGGCCCTTCAATTTTGTATGAGAAATGTATGTTAGATTTTTATTCTCAAGATAAGTTTTTCCTTTCAAAGAGCACTGTATTACATATGAGGGTTTTTAGTCACCAAGTATAGTTTCTGTCCTTGGACTTTTTCATCTATTATTTCATAAAAGCCTAACACGATGGGGTGAGATGGAAGGCCTGACGTATTCTGTACTTTATGTATTTTCTGCCAGAAACACTTATGAGTATGAGTATGCCGTGAGTGACTGTAAAATGATGTAATAGTCACTCAAACAATGGCAGGGCTGGATGCCTGGATCATTTGAAGACGTGTTTTTATTCTCACAGATATGCAGAACTTTAGCAGCGAGCCAGGAGCCTGACAAATGTGCAAGAGGGTCAGACTATGGCGCTGCTTTCTGGTCCTCTGCGTCACTGGAGGTACGCCCTTGCCGGCATAATCTCAATCCTCGTAGTTACCACTGCTCTCTCGTGGCAACTTCCACTCAGCTACTGATAAATACTGTATGTAGGTCATGTGAACAATGCAACGGCGAATGACCCTGTTCAGTGAAAATGTCACTGGGAGTCAAAGGGCTGAGAGACTTTAGCAATCATAGCGTGTATGTGCTAATGTATCCTGTTGGTAAGCATTCTCTAACCGCCCTCAAACCAGAGAAGTCCTCGTCTGTTTGCCTGTCGATCTTTTTCCCCTATAATGTTAGTGAGGATGTTCTACACAAGTGAAGTTCCTTCTCCTTGGGTCATTTTTAGTCTAGTGACGTGGAGTGTGTGGAGAAAGTGCAGGTTTTTTTTTTTCTTTAAGAGTAGTACTGTAGGTAGTAAAGGCATCAGAGCCATTCAAACAGTGTTGTGGTGCATCTACAATGGAGCATTTCTCCCATGCAGAGCTGCACGGTGGCTCATGTGTGCGCTGCTGATTAGCACACCCTCACGGTGCCGTCTGCCTCCATCAGTGGCCCTGTGCAGCAAGCACAGTTTCACAGCAGCGGCTTGTCACCATTTGACTTAACATTTGCAAGCAAATCGATGGCCAGCAGGTTAGGCACCAGACACAGGAAGTTTACTGTCTGCTTTTTCTTAGCTATTTACTCCATTATGTCTCATTCTCTAAGACTTTTATATGTTTTTTTGCCACTATGAGACCAGATACCCTTCATAAAACTTAATGACTTTCTGCAGTTTTCAACATTCTGTCTCTGCACTCTGAGAGCTTTAATTGTTTTAATTCATTCTGTCCCACAAGGAGGCAAAAGTGACTAACTGCCCGTGCAATAGAATAGAGGCTCTGGGATATAATATTTTTCCTCACTATGAAGCCTTTTTTTCCCTCTTCCTCACTCTAATAAAAGTTTCTTAATTTGGACATGATGTCCCCAGACCCTGACATGCTCGGTTTTGTTAAATGGAGCTCTGGTTTCATAACGGTCCACAAATCAGGTGGAACTCACTTCCAGGCTTGGACCTTCCAGAGGGAATGCAGATCGACAGCACCCAGAAGCACCAGCAGTTAATGAGTTCCAGTGACTGTGTAAACAGACAGCCACCATGGCTTGCCTCACGCTTTCGTTTGGCCCTTGGGTCTTGTTTGCTTATACGCTACACTTTTGTCTGGTGTGTCTGGTTGTTTGACTTGGGTGAATATTCGTGCTGCTTTTTCTAATCTGGTTTCTTGGTTATTCTGGCCCTTGACTGGGTGAGTCTGTTCCATTGACTTGTGTTTGACCCTCCTCACCCGCATCCTGTGCGCCTCTTCTCATGCTGAGAAACCCTTTCCCGCCAGTGGCCCAAGTCCCATCAGCACTAAGCACCTGGCCATCCTCCACCTGGGAATGGCGTCTGGCGGGGCTCGAGATCCTGGGTTCCCCGGCCGGTGGTGATCAGGCACGGGAGGCCTGATACTTTGCTGACCATTCCTTGTTTTGTAGTCAGTAAAACACTTGGCTTTGCTGGCTGGTCTTGCCTGTTGTTGTAGGAGCTCTGGAGAAAGTGCTTATAGAAAAAGTGTCCCGTGTAGTTTCTGAGTTATGCTATGTCCTTGTACAGAATTATATTTAAATGATTGTAGTGACAGTAATTTCGTAAACAGAGCACGTTGTAAATTAGCCACTATCTTATTGTCATCAATTTTAATTTGAAATAAGAATTTGAAACTCTAAATTAGCCATTATCTTATTGTCATCAAGGCAAAGCTTCCGCAATGAAAACCGTTTCCATAATCAATATGGCTGCACTTTGGCAAAAAATAACAAGGAACACTGTGCTTGACCAAGAAAAATGCTTGTACAGTGGTACCTCGGTTCTCGAACTGACTAGAACTCGAATTTCTTGAAAGTCGAACAAACCAGTTTGACCTAGAACTCGATCTGAATATCAAAAGTCGAACCGTGAACGCTGACCTAATATATATTCTACGCGCCAGGAAATGAGTCATACTACAATGCAATTCTTACTTGAATGCCTTCTTCACAGACTGGACGATTAACCAAATAAAGCAGCGCAATATTACAGTAACTAACAATAAATAAACCACTAATTCACATGTACTATTAGAGCGTTTATGTCATTTATTTAAACTTTATTTTACCAGGTAAATTAACTGAGAACCAGTTCTCACTGCTTTACGTGATATTCGGGAGAAATAGCAGATTACACATCGGAACTGCCTGGGATACAAACGTCAGCCAATAAGGGCAAAGGTGTGTCGTCACGGAGGCGGTTCCAGTTTGTGCAGCCGGGTGAGAGGTCGCAATGCATCTAATCGTAATGCATTGCGTCAGGATCAGAACGCGTTGCTTTAAGCCAGCGCTGTAAGCAAGTCGAACGCACCCAATGACCGGACTGGGGACACAAACTGAAACGCGGACTTAATACAGAGGACTAATGACAACAACCAGAAACAGCTGATCACATGGGGATCCCACACGAGGTTAACGAGGGGGCGTGGCACACGGAAGGAGCGGATGATCGGGGCAGGACAGGGGTAATGTTGGGATAAGTTCTTTATCGTTTTGGAAGCCATTAAGAAAAAAATGCTCTTCTTGTTTTATCCTGTTCATTTTGTGTTTAAATGCTAAAAAAAACAAAAAACATTTAGGTGTAATTTTGGGGGGCCGTCAACCAATTAATTGGTTTTCCATTATTTCTTATGGGAAAAATTCGATCAGAACTTAACTTTTTAGGATTCGATCCGGAGTCCGGAACGGATTAAGTTCGAGAACCGAGGTACCACTGTATAATTAAAACAAAAACAACTAAAATAAATAAAAAAAAACACGGGGCATTTTTCCCCCCAGAAATGACCAATTGTTCTTCATACTCAGTCTTTCCTGGAGCACATGTGTTTGCTTCAGAAATTCCACCATTTAGCTAATGTGAAGCTCTCATAGTATGAACCTTGTGCAGGGACCTTTTCACGTCGAATGCACTGCTCACCAGGACAACAGATTGTCAGAGATGAGCCAGAGGAAGAGTCTCCGGAGAGCACCGATAGGGTGTTAGCCCAATCTCAAAGTCTTCTCAGCTGGATGGGGAAAATCTATATTGATTCTCATCCTTTGCATCATTGTCACATCCAGAGAGAGCAGCAGCTGCTGTCCAGAAGGAGATGTGTCAGTATTACGGTAAATGAGAGGGTTTTACCGCTGAGTCTGTTATTTCATCTTTTTTTTATTTTTTATTTAAATACCGGTGGATTTTAAATGGGCAACCAAGATTTCTTCAGCAAGATCTTCGATGCTTTTTGTCCCAGAAGACAGGAATTTTGTACATCGCAAAGGTGGATGCTTCAGGTGTAGGAATCTACACCTGTGCAGTGAGGCACCTGATGACGAACAGCACAGTGCTAGGCACCCCCACGCCAGTGTTCCTGAGCAGTGATGGCCAGCTGCTAATTGTACTTACTGTTCTGGAAACAGTGGCACAATGCTGTGGTTACGCTGAATGTGAGCAATGGATGAACTAGCTGTCTCAGCTGATTAAAACATTTGTTTGTTTTTTTTTTTCTCATATGCAGTTGCAATACATTCCTCATTCCAGGTAGTGCTAACTTGTGCTCTCTACTCTTGTCAGTACTGTGGGGTTAATGCCTACAGTATGTCTGAATTTTCCTCCCACAGTCACAAAACGCACAAACATGCGGGGTTTAGCACTTGTATTGAGCTTAATTTCCTGCATGAATGGACAAGTTCAGTTGCTGATCATAGCACAGTTAGGTGGGTAGTTGTCATCTATTCCTTATATCTTCCTAACACTACGACGGATGGGAAATCAGAGAGTAGATGGGAAATCTCTTCTTGCCCTTCATTTCATCTTCCACACTGGGCCACAGGTTGCAGTGAAGTTAGTTTGAGAAGCTGAAATTTATAACGCTAGCAGTTAACATCTTTGAAATCTTTTCTTTCTGCATCCCTGCAGGCCTGAAGTCTGCTTCGCACAGGGGATCGTCTGTGAAATTGGAATGCTTTGCATTGGAAAAGTAGGTCTCAAGTTATATCAGCATTCTGGCAGGATGTCCAGAGAAATGCCTGTCATCCTCCAATGGGCACTTGGCCCTCAATAGCCACACTCTATATGGATCAAGCTGGAGAAGATCTTTCAAATTTTTTTTCAGTGTCCACTCACCATATCTTTCCCTTGAACAACAGGCATTTTCTTTCATTTGGAAAAGCAGGTGACTTACCTGTCCTTTCTGGTTGATCTACTGTAGCCCAGTACCTGCTTCGACATGGAGAAGAACAGACGGAAATCCTTTTCCGGAAAGATCAAAATCAACAACGACAACAACAATACTCCCATACTTCCAGCCAGAAGATGCTGGCTCCTTTGAATGCATGGCGGAGAACACCAGGGCATGAAATGCTGAAAACGACAGCTACTGTTCTATGATATCAGCATTCACTGGCATTTTTGCCAGATTAGAAGTTTAAAATGATGTGCTGTTTTTAAAAGTGTAAAGAAGAAATATTTGCTTTCAGGCTTAGAAATATTTTATTATATATAAGAATTCTTGTTTCTGTTGTGAAGTACATTTGGGATTCCCTGACTATTATCAGTTGAATCAAACAGTGACATCTAATCAAATGTCAGATAATTAAGCATTACCTCATAACTTATCCTGAGTGGATTTATCTTGATTTGTCCAAAGTTCAGCAAAGTAAGTCTAATTAAATTGGCTGTTTCACTAATTATAAAGTGGGAATTGATAATGATTTTGTTCATTTCATTAAAGAGTGCCATGAAACCTGGAAGATGTGAATTTAATTTGTTGTGTTTTACCGTTCTGCTTTATGACTTCCAAGCTGTTGCTTGTCTGCATGAATTCTGCTAGCAGCTACTGTGCATAAAGAAAAGAAACAAACAGGCTACCAATCACACCCTCAGGTGGTACGAAAAGTACTTGCAAATGTATATACCGATGTCGTCCAAGGGGTAGTTGTGCATGTATTCCTTATAATGTGCTTTGTAACAGTTTATAGACCTGAATTCATGTGAAACCCGAACTCGGCATAGGGATTCCCTTACAGATGTTGGATGCAGACGTTGAAAGACACCCATGTGTCCTTTGAAGCAGACCTTTCCTGGAAACGCAGTGCCGGTGGGAAGCCTAAGCCACTGTACAGATGGCTGAAGAATGGCCAGTGGTTTGGGGCTGATTTAGTCCCCCCTTGAAATCAAACCTATGCTCTTGAGTGACGATCTGGACACGACTGAATTTTGAGACAAATTGCACCAAAACTGAAACAACACCATCAGTGGCAGCAAAGGGAACGGTGACTGCAGAAGACATTTGATATTTTGAACTTGATAATTCAAAAAGTATATGATGGGTCGTATTATCACTTCACAAAAACATTAAATAGATGAAGATCTACACTTTTTACATCATGACATATTGCACCAAAACTGAAGGAGCAGTGCTGGGAAAGGAGGGAAAGGAGGGAAAGGGAGGCTGCAGAAAATTCTTGATATTGTGAAGACAGTAACTCTAAAAGTATTTGATGGATATTTTTTCAAACTTCCCTTGAACATTGTGCAGGTGATGAATTTGGGGCTGTTTCACTTTGAGACAAATCACACCAAAGTGGAAGTAGTGTCAGTGCACTGTCAGGTACCGCTCTGGTACAGTTTTGTACTCCAAGGTAATGTACCCCCAATGGTACAAAAATGTCCTGCCAATTGTACCTACAGCTATGGTACAGTTGGCAAGTCCTTTAGGGTATAGCCCTAGTGGCACATAATTGTACCATCAAACATATAAATTGGTCCTTTTTTTCTGACAGTGAGGTGGTACATGTGATTACATCCAGACAAGTCACACAAAGCCTTTAATAAAGATTTTTTTGAAGAGTGTGTAGGGGAGCTATAAATTGCAGATGGTGCTGTGGGAGGTGTTTGTGTTTGAAGGGGTAACGGGACTGTCCGGGGAATGCGCTGCTGTCATTCCCACAGCATTTAGCTTTCTTCAGTATGATAAATGGATGTGCAAATGCAGGATCAAGCAAACTTCCAGAGTGTGAATGGTTTTCCTTTTTCTTTATGCAACAGCCCCCTCTTAATAGTCCGCTGCAAATTTCTCTTTAGTAGTTTTCTTGCCAGTGAAACATGCCAGTGAACATTAACATGTTTGTCATTGTTCTCAGTGACTGTTTGACTAGTGTTGTAACTGACTGATTTCCCGAGACTGTCACAAATTGAGGCTTTTATTGATGATGGATGATATAAATACAACAGTACAAGTAATGAAAAGAACTGGAAAAGAGTTTTGATATGAGTATTAAATGATCAACTCTGGAATTTTATCATACTTATATATGCATTCATATGAATGACAGTTTATATATGGACTGAATCATTTGTGCATATTTTTCACTGGGACAGAATCCAAGTATAAGGTGGTAAATTATCCATTTATAACTTCAACCTGATGGATTCTGGGATGTACCAGTGCTTGGCAGAGAAGGATGATGGAGAAATCTATGCCAGCGCTGAACTCAAGGTTGTTGGTAGGTGAGGATTGTGTAATACAAGATCTGACATTAGAACAAACATCACATCACTCAGGCAGCTCACGAGACACCTATGTGGTGACATGATTAAATAGTTTGACATATTATGCACTTTAGATATGGCTAATCAAAAGTAATCAAGTCAGAACAAGTCAGTCATTTAAGTGTAATGTACTGGCATAATTATAAAGCCATTATAGACTTGACATTTAAATGTAATATTTGTGGCCCAGTGGGGGGAGGGTCCTGAGTATTGTTTTGTCTATCAGCACCTCCTCCAGATTTCTGTGTGAGCACAGTAAACTTAAAGCAGTCTGTGTCAGTCCAGAGAGGAGGGGAGGTGGATCCCTGCAGGGTGGCCGCAGGTACGGAACCTTTATAGTGGTACCACTCCTGAGTGCCTGTAAAAGGTCCCACGTGGCCACTGGGTGACCAATGTGGTAAAAAGGTAAAAACCATGAGGTGCAGAACCCATTTACACGACCACTGGCTGCAGCACTGACACAGCGACTGAGGACATTCTCCCGCGTGGGAAGGTGATATCGCTGCTTAAGTGCTCACTTCACATATATTTTATACTGCAGGTTCATATTAAATGCGGCTCTCATTAGCACAGCTGTTCGTATGGGCCTTAGCGCTTCTGGGCAAGGAGCCGTTTCACTCACTGCTATTAGATTTCCAGAATTCCATTTGGCAGCACTCCAGAAAAGTTCATACCGAGAGGTATCCCTATATGTCTCCTGGGTTTATTCTAAACATGTTATCCAGGGGTGAGTAAGGGCTTGACTGCCTGTCTTAATGGTTAAGTGTTTTTCTTATTGGCTGCTGCCTCTTGTATTGTACACCTGGTGAAGTTATCCACTACACATGGTATCAGTTGATGGCCACTATAGTTTTCCTGTAGGAGTTACAGTTTATCCACTTTTTTGTACAGTGTTAGTGTTGAAGGTCACTTATTACTCACTGGCAAGTCAGTCGTTTTTTCATTATTTAAAGAAGTGCTTCTTTCCAGAGGAGCCTGCAAACAAGACTGGGGTGCACCCCGGGGGTGACGGACCCCCGGGGGTGTCCGTCACCAGGCACATGCTGCAGGTGGTTTAGAGAATCGGGACTGCAGGAGCAAAGAAGAATAGCTGGTGGGAACATGCAAGCTCAGCAGGGATGGAGCAGAGAATGGATCCAAAGTCTCAACCCCAGAACCTGGAGGCCTACTGAGCTACCCTGCCGCCCTCGCCGGTATTATCATGTGAAATTTATTTTAAATAAATAAATACATACTGGTGCATGGTGCAAATAATACTACTTCCTTTGAATATGTATGCCGTCATCTGGTTTCCATTATCCAGGAGTCTTATTTATGAAAGGTAGTGCCTCGGAGGGTTAGGCAGATAATTACTGCAATAAAGCAATTTAGAGGCAAAGTTCAACCCGCAAGGAGTAAAGTCTGGTACTATGAGATTTAGAATTCAATAGCCAACATGCTAATCCAGTTCTTTATGGCATTTACGTTATGTCAGAGGAATCTACAGTCATGATATTGTGGTCATACTCCCATTGTGCGCTTTCGTAAAATTCACACTCACACAGTGCCGGGAATCTGCATGTACTCGGCCTTGTGAGGAAAACAGAGTTAAGGTTAAGGTTCCTTTATTGTCATCAACGGCTTTATACATGTACAAAGTGTGATGAGACAACGTTTCCCCAAGGCCCCGGTGCAACATCTAGTAACACTGAACGTCACATTCAACAGGGCAAAAGGTGCAAACAGGCAACACAATACAGTGCAAAAGGTGTGATAACATTACAGTGCACAACAAGTTACAATGAATAGACGGAAGAATAAATGGACAGAACAGTACACAACACTCCAGTATCATTTAACTGGGGAGCCTTAGTGACTGGAATTGCACATTGTTATTATATTATATTGTATGGTACTATTGCACATGGTTACTATATTGTACAGAGTAAACATGAAAATGCAGGTATGAGGTATTTCGGAAGAGCTATGATCTAAACTTAAAGTGCGTCCAGAGCCCTGATGGCTTGTGGAACGAAGCTGTTACACAGTCTCGTGGAGGCGGAACGGAAGCTACGATACCGATTGAGTCGCCACTCACATGGACACAGGAAACGCATGCTAACTCCCCAGACAGAGAACATCAGGCCAGGAATCAAACTCACATTCCTGGACGTGTCAGGCCTATGTGCTATTAATAACAAAAATAGGAAATGATGATGAAGAACTGGATTCTGTTATCAATTTGTCTTTCTAACATGCACCTTTTTTCTCAATTACCGCTGCGTTCCGTCTCTACATACCTGCCCACCATCCTGCTGAACATGCTGTCAGTGTGTGGTCTGTGCATCCTCACCCATAGCTTAGGTCTTTCTGGTTAAGAACTGTAACCATGCCTACGAGGTAGGTGCTTCCTTGGGCAGCTGGAACTACACTGACGATCAATCACCAGACCTGGGTCGTCTGCCTCGACACCTGGCGCTCATCTGTACGATGACCTCTTTATTTCTATGAAGTAAGTGAAATCAAAGTTTTATAGCTTTTCCTACCGGATATGAACTATTAGGTCATTCCGCTAGAAATGTCCAGCACTTAGCAAACTGCTGCTGCTCTACAAACTGCTGCATCCTACGTGATAAAGCAGAAAAATAAGAAACTCCCTTGTGTCTCTTGTGTGAATTTTGTTAAATCAATACGCATGGCTAAATGCCTTTAGCGTTTCCATAAATCACGCAGACTACCCACCCAGGCCCCTTCCTTTGAATTGATTGGTTTTGAAAAGGCTGTCATAGAAACAAGTATAAACAGTGAATGCAGAGTTTGCAGGGTAGACAAATAAACATATCAAGAAGAATGTGTGTTTGTGAATTAATAATTCATGTATTTACTATTTGGTGTGCAGGGTGGCGCGGTGGTGGGCACTGATGCCTCACACCTCTGGGACCTGGGCTTCTGTCTCTGCCAGAGTTCCATGTGTGTGGAGTTTGCATGTTCTCACTGTGTTGTTGTGGAGTTTCCTTTGGGTTCTCCAGTTTCCCCCCAAAGTCTAAAAACATGCTGAGGCTAATTGGAGTTGCCAAATTTCCCATAGGTGTGTGAGTGTGCCCTGAAATGGGTTGGTGCCCCATCCTGGGTTGTGCCCTGAAATG